GTAGTAAATGTAGTTCTCCAGTACATAAAAAACAGGCATTTATTGTTCCATATTATTTAAAAAAGGCACAATGTGTTCAGCATTAATGCTGGTGGTACTAGCAGCGAGGACGATGACAGTACCACCAGAGACTTGAAAGGAAATAATTACAATGTGAGGACAAGAGACTTCCAACACAAACTGTTTTGTAAATAACTGTCGCTTTGCACTAATTCAAGCATTTAGCTCCAATTAAACCCATAAATGTCAACATTGTTGTCCACCATAAATCACCATTTTTACAAATGTTTAAAAAAGCATTAACTGTCAACTTAAATATAGTGTGGAGAGAGCTTTTTGTTTGGGCTCTGGATTTGACAGACTCCGTGTATGTTAACAAGAGGTTTGAGCATCAACAGAAAAACAGTGAAGGGCAAAGGGAGGTTAGAATAGCCTACAGCTCCTTCATGCTGGGATGTGAGCTCTTGCATGACAAACTACAACCCCAGAAGATACACTGTGCTCAGATAAACCACTTTAACCCGCACTTCTTGGATGGCCTCTTTCCTTGCCTGCCATCTTCTTAAATTCTTCAAGGTGACTTTGTAGATTGCAACCTCAAAATGCCATCATTATTTGTGGAGGCAAACTCCCTTCTGCTGGAAATCCAGCTGCTGAAATTTATATTTCTATTTAGCTCCCTCCAGTAAAATTCCACTTTGTCTCAAGAAATCTGCGTCCACACGAAACCACAAAACCGACACAAAACGATGTAGTATACATGCCAGACCAGTATGTGGCGCTGTAATTCTGCCACAGAGATACACTAAAAACGGAGAAGAAGACTAGCAGTATACAAACGAACATGGAATAATGCATTTATTAATCTGTGTTAATGTTAGGTAATAAAAAGACAATCGTTCAGCGTTTGTTCATGTTTTTGTTGCTGTTACATGACGTAGCGGTGTCTGACTAGGGGCGAGACGTGGGCTGATGACGTCATCGTTTCAGAAAATATAAGGATTCGCTGTCCACACGAAAACGCAAGGGTGGCGTTTTCAGATTTATCCACTCTGGGACCCGGTTTTAAAAAATATGAGTAAATAAAAAATATTATAGAGTTTCACTCTCCCATTTAGCAACTTTTAGCAACAAATCAACCTTCCTTTAGCAACTTCCTCTGAAAATTAGTTGGCAACACTGTGGACGGGGCCTTAAAAGGGAAGAGAAGTTTTAACACTAGAACCGACACAGGGTAAATTTTACCCTTGGCTGTTTTTCAAATGTACTTAACATATTTAAAATAAAACATTCAAGTCTCCCAGTCATTGACTTTTACTAAAATTATGTAATTTACAATCTAATGTTGTTAAAAATTATTTAGATAAAACCAGATCAAAAAACGGGGCATTTATACATATAAGCGCCAGCGGGTCAAATTTACCCGCTATATAATGCATGTAACCTTGGGC